TCCCCACCCGATTACCAGCAATCCCTTTAGAAGCACCTAAGAGATAATAGGGCGATCAGCAGCCAGCATGGCTTTGCCTGGAGCAAATCAAGTCAAACCGATCTCATTCCCTTCCCTCCCAGGGTCAGCAGCCGCCGGGACCGCGTGCGCTCTGGAGCAGGGATGTTGGCTCCGGACACGGGCAGAGCAGCGGGGAAGCCCCGCGGGGCGGCCGCGGTGTTTGCTCAACCAACCCTCTCCCAAGAACAACAAGCAGAGGAAGGTGGCAGCGCCGGGGCACGGCCCCCCCGGCTGCCCGCAGCAGCCACCCCGGGGTAAACATTACCCAGCTCAGACCGGAGCACTCAAATATTTGCTTTGAGGCTCCAGCCCCGGTCCCGAGCAGGACGAGAAGCAAAGCACCAGCTCATGGGGCTGGGGGCTGCAGTGCCCCTGCCCGGGATGCTCCTTCTCCCGCACGCCCGTTTGTTTCTCCCATCCCATCGAGCTGAAGCTGGATCCTGCATGGAAGCACAGCCTTCCTGAAGCAAACTGGGGGCCCTTTCATTTCCCAGCAAAGGGAGGAAGAGAGTGGGCAGCCCTGATTAGGAAAGATTTCATAGCTTTCCTTGGCACCTCAGCAGGTCCGAGCCCTTCCTGCTGCAGCCTCCCACAGTCACCGACAGCTCTGCCCAGGCAGACCCCTCAGTGCTCCTGAGACCCTCTCCTGCCCCCCGAGGCCCCGGCAAGGACAGAGGAGGATCCACGCAGGCTGTGGCACAGGTCCCTCATCCCACCAGAGCCCTGGCACCATGGGGACCTACCTGCACCTCCCGCGTGTGGTAGGCGATGATGAGGCCCAGCAGGATGATGGTGGAGAGGCTGATAAGACATTTTAGGGCCAGGGAGAACATGGAGTCCTGCAAGGCAAGAGCAGGGCAGGCATTAGGGGGGATACCCCATGACACCGGGCTCCGCACCCCCAGGGAGATGCTTCCCCCTCCACCAGCATTTCAGGAGCCCCAGCTCCCACCCAGAGCAGCTTGGCATGGCAGCTAGGGCACCACCAGCACCACTGGCACCACCAGCACCATGGGCAAGAGTGGCTTTTTCTCCAAAATGGGATTTGAATCCAATCCTGGCAAATGTAATGACCATCCTCCCCTTGCTGCCACATGGACACCAGCACCCCAGCCGCATCTGGCATGACCACAATATTATGGCACCCTAATGGATGATCTAATTAGAAAGTCCTGATAATTAGCTCGATGTAAATGAAATCAGCCCCTGATTCACTGGTGGCCAAAGTGGACCCAATCGGGAAGAGCAGGATTCACCGTCCTCTCCTATGGGCTCGCCTCTGGATCCCATTCAGTCACCGGCAAGCTCATGCTGCCATGATCCGGACCACCGGTGCCGGGGCACCCACTGAGCACTGGCAGCCCCTCACCAAGGTGTTATCTCCAAACCAGCACCCATCCGCACCTCCACCCCGCACTCTGAGAGCCAGCACGCTCATGGCACGTTGCACCTATCCTTTGCTCCCCAGTGCACCCGGCTGCCTTCAGCCTCGCTTCTCTCCCCGGTGTTCCCCAGGCCCGCGGGGTATTTAACCACGAAGAAGGGACTATTTGCCGCGGAGGCTGTGGCGCATTGTTAACGACTTGGCTCCGACCGTGCAATTGTGTGGATATAATGGCTGGTGCTGAGAGAAGTGCCGGGGACCAAGCAACGGCTATTAATAGGCAAACTCTGGGGCAGGGCTCGTGCCAAGGCTGCTCCAGCCAGACCCTTCCCTGCTCTGCCTCCCCAGAGGACGGGGACCACCGGCCCTCCTGGCAAGTGTTATTGGCAAGGGCTTTCCCAACGCCTCCTTCCAGCACCGGGTCCAGAGGGACCCGGCAGGAAGAGCCGCTGCTGGAGCCCATGCTGGTGGCAAACAACGGCAAGGAATGGAGGGACTCGGCTGGGATGGGAGGATGCTTCCCCCCGGCGGTGCCGCGCCGGAGCAGGGAGAGGCCCCATCCTGCCCACACCCGAGGGACCGGCAGAGAGCGCCGGCAAACCCCGGCCACCGCTTCCCGGCTCGGCCCCACCGGCAGCGGAGCTGGAGCGGGGCCAGGGTCGGCAGCACCGACAGCTGCCCGGGCACAGCCGCGGCCCCGCTCGGGTTTCCCACCGGCGGCTGCCGAGGGGCGTTTACAAACAATCGCCCACTGCCGACCCCTGCGGGGCTCGGCCCCGGCAGCGCGGCAGGCGCCGGGGTCGCGGTGGCCGCGGGCGGCGGCGCTGACTCACAGGGTCTTCCCCGGCTGCGTGCGGGGCTGGCACATGCGTGCGAGGCGTCTCTGGCACCCCGCGCCCGGCACGGGGGCCCGGTGCGGGCAGCCGCGGCTCAACAGGTAGCGGGCGACGGTGGCGGCGGGGTTTGGCCTTGGTGCCGCCGACAGGGAACCGCTGGGGAGGATGTGGCGGTGAAGAGAGGCGAAGCATCCTCGTTCCCCAGCGGGGGAGCCAGGGATGTGGGCTCGGCACGGAACAATCCCTCTGCCTCCGCCAGCGCGCAGGGAGCCGCTGCTGCCGGCTCCTGTGCTCCCACCGCCGCCGACAGCCGGGAGCCCCCCGCTTCCAGACGGGCACCTCCGTGGGGTCCCCCCACACCCACAGGACCCCCGGCCGCGTCCCTCGCTCCCTCCTTCCCTCCCTCCTTCCACCTGCTCCAGCTCTGTCGCTGCCTCTGCCCGCGCCACCCTCCCCACCGCCCGCGCTGGATAATAGCAGGAAGCAGCGAGCGGCCCCTTCCCACCGGCTCCTGCCCCCAGCCCCCTCAGCAGCGTCCCGCTGACGCCCATGGGTGCCACACACGCCCTTTGCCGGCGCGGGTGCTGATGCCTTCCCCTCTCTGGATAGGTATAAATAACATGACAGATGTCTATACAAAGAGTTATTCATATCGCTGCCAACCAGCGCAGCCCGGGAGCAGGAGCTGGAAGGGGCGTGGGGGGGGGAGAATTATAAATAAAAGACACCGTCCTGCAAAAAAGAAAAAAAGGAAAAAAAATGGAAGAAAAGGGTGTGGAGGAGGCGGAGGAGGAGGGAGATGGGGCTCTGAGTACCGCCGAGGGCACAGCGCCTCGAGGGGCACCCAGCCAGGCCGCCCATGGGCACCGCAGACCCTGGTGGGTCTGTCCTCGGTACTGCTGGCACGTGGGGCAGCGCCTGCCCAGGCACCTGGTACACACTGGCTGCCACGCGGCCCCGGTGGCCACAGCCCCGTCCGGCACCTGCGGCCGCAGTGTCCCCATCGGTCCCCATCCAGCTGCGTCCCATGGCTCACAGAGCCAACGGCTCCATGTGTATCCCACGGGACACCATACGGGGCACACAGTGCTGCGCTCACCCCGCTGGCCACCGAAGAGCACCGACAGCCCCGCGCCCAAGGTCTGGCCCCTTCTGTACCTTGGAGTAGAGCCCCCAGGAGAGCTCGGTCTCGATGACCATGACGACGATGCCGAACATGCCGAAGATGAGCGCGTAGTCGCTGAGGCGCTTCCTTTTCTCAAAGAGCGCCCGGCGGTGCCCCAGCCGGTAGCCGATGTTCTGCGCCTTGCGCTTGGGCCCCTTGGCAAAGGTGGCAGGGGCCGGGTGAGCCGGCGGGCGGCTGGGGCAGCGGGCAGCGGGCGCGTGGTTGTCCTCACGTGAGACGACGATCTCGGGGGGTCCCCCGGTACCGAAGAGCTGCAGGGGCTGCGCCTCTGGCTCGGCCTCGATGAGGTTCCGCCGGGATGCGCTGAGCCGGCTGAGGGGCTTCATCACGCCGCCGCTGTACTTGCAGGAGCTCATGGCGATCTCGGTGAAGGGGTTGCTGTCCCGCCGGTGCACCAGCGGGCTGGGCTGCCGGTGTTTGCCGCTCGCCACCCCGGAGCCCGCCGGGTGGTCGCCGAGGTTGAGCTGGCTGCCGTGGCGGGAGGAAGGGTGGAGGGCGGCGGGGGCGGCGGGAGGAGGAGGAGGGGCCCGCAGCGACCCGGGCGAGGAGTGCAACAGGCTGTGCTGGAGCGGCGGCAGCGCGGCGGGAGGCGGCGGCCGCTCATCCCCCGGTAAGGGGCAGGGACAGCGGCCGTCCTCCTCCAGGTCCCCCACGCCCGAGTCGTGCAGATGCCCCGATGTCTCCATGACGGCGGCGGCGGCGGCACCGGCGCCGCTTCACCGGGCACCGGCTCCGTTTTACCGGGCACCGGCCCCGCGCGCTGGATCATGAATGGGCGCCGCGCGCTCGCCGCTGCCGCGCGCTCGCCGCCGCCGCCGCCGCCCCCGTCGCCGCCGCCGCTGGCCCGGCCCCGCCGCGCCATTGGCCGCGCCGGGGCTCCCCGCAGGCTGACATCATCACCGCCCGCTCCCCGCTTCGTGCCCCCCCCCCCGCACCCCGCGCCCCCGGTCCCTGCGTCTCTTGCGGGGTCGTTCGGGACTTGTAGTCCGCCGGCACCGGCGCCGGTTCCGCCCATCCTCCCTCCCCGGGGGATGCCCCGCGCGCACCGGGCTCCCCTCGAAGGCACCGGGAGGGGGCTGCAGGTCCCCGGAGGGCACCACCGCCCCTCCCTCCATGATCTCCAACCAGGTCACCCCGTGTGTCCCCCAGGATGTCCCCGAGGAGAATCGGGGGCGATGCCAGACCCAGGGCTCACGCCACAGCGATGGATTTAGGGGTGACAGGACCCAAATCCCTCCCACCCTGCAACCCCTCAGGACCCCCCCGGCAGTGCCCAGCTGCTGCAAGAGAGGAGCAGGCATCAGGGCGGGAGCCGTCTGCTTGGGAAGTGGATAATCCGCAGGGAATTGGCTGCTGGAAGCCTATTAAAATACACCACAAAGCACCCAGCTGGTGACCCCCCATTAATTAAACTGCACATTTGCCTCTACCCCCACAAAGCTGGGGGGGGCACCCCGAGGGGCATCACCCATGTCTCCAGCCCCATGTGAACACCCTTCCCAAGGGAAGCGAGATGGAGCCGGGTGGCAACAGCTCTCGGTGTCAGAGCTTTACTTCCAGCACAGGCACAAGGGGGGATCTGGGGCACCCCCCACCACTGGGAGAGAGGCCACAGCTACAGGCGGCTGCGGACCGCCTGCAGGAGCATCTCCAGCTGCTGGTCCAGGGACAGCTCATCCCCATCGTTGGTGATCACCCAGTCGAAGCTCACTCCCTGGTCCAGGCCACACTCTGACTCGGCGTCATCCACCCCTGGGGAAGAGCAGAGCCCAGGTGAGGCCCCAGCCCGGGCCAGGTTCTGTCCATCCCCTGCCGCAGCCTCAGCCCATGGAGCTGGGGGGCTTCACCTGAACCCTCCAGCTCCCACAGCCAGAGGCCAGGGGCGGATCCATCTACGGGGCAGTCCTGCTGTCAGCGCAGCCCCGGGTTCATCACTGCACTCAGTGCGGCGGTCGCTCACCAGCAACGAAGACCCAGTTCCTCCTCTTCCTCGTCTCCTCAGTGGCCACGACCCGCACAGTCTGCACCACGTCACCGTAGACATCCCGGAACCACTCCACGTCCGAGAGGCGCCGCGTGTCGCTCACCACCTTTGAGGGGCTCTGTCAGCACCCATCCCGGAGCCTCCACATCCCGCGTGTCCCTGTGTCCCTCCCGGCTCACCCACACCGGCTGCGCCGCTCCCTCCACCGCTGCCCTGCAGAAGAAGCCGGGGTCGGCGTGGCGCTTCTCCTCGCCCCAATGAATCATGTCCTGCCGGAACATCTCCTTGTAGGCACTGGCGTCCAGGAGCCGCTGGAAGTCCAGGCCATGCTCCTGCGGGGATACGGGGTCAGGGGGGCACAGCCCATGCCACAGGGCTTGGTGTGGCACGGCACGGTCTGGCTCAGCACAGCACGGTGAGGCTCGGAGCAGGACGGCACAGCTCGGTACAGCTCGGCTCAGCACAGCCCAGCTCGGCATGGCACAGCGTGTCCTGGCACCGTACCTTGGCATACTGCTCCTTGAGGGGTCCGGAGAGGCGCAGCACGGTGCAGACATCGGGGCCCAGCCTGTGGGAGAGGAGTCAGAGGCACCGGCACTGGGCACGGCACCTGCCCCGATCCACCAGTACCAGCCCCAGCTCCCGGTACCGTCCCCGCCCACGGGTACCTGGCCCGACCCACCGGTACCGACCCCCCAGGTACCAGCCCCAGCTCCCGGTACCGGCCCCGCCCCCAGGTACCTGGCCCGACCCACCGGTACCGACCCCCCCCCCCCGGTACCAGCCCCAGCTCCCAGTACCGCCCCCGCCCGCGGGTACCTGGCCCGACCCACCGGTACCGACCCCCCGGTACCAGCCCCAGCTCCCGCTACCGGCCCCGCCCCCAGGTACCTGGCCCGACCCACCGGTACCGACCGCCCCCCCCGGACACCGCCCCCCCCCCCCGGTACCGGCCCCATCTCCCGGTACCGGCCCCGCAGCTCCTCGGCCACAAAATCCTTCCCCGATTTCCTCTTCCCGCTCAGCAGCAGCACCGCACGCGGCGCCGCCATCCGCGCCCCGGCCACGCCCCCCCCCCCCCCCCCCCCGCGGGAGAGCCCGATGGTACTGCCCGAGGAGGGCGGGGCTGGGCGAGGCGCCGCTGACTCCGCCCCTCCGGCGGCGCTCCCGTATCATGGCGCCCCCTGCAGGGCGGGCGGGCAGAGGAAGTCCCCCAAAACCTGCCCTGGCCCCCCCGCCCCGCCGCCCCTTTCCCCAGCGCCCCCTTCCCTCCCCGCTCCCCATTTCCCCCTCACGCCGCTCCCCCGCAGCAGGCACAGCTCTGCCCAGCGGTGACTTTATTGCGTGGCAGCAGCACAATCAACACTGTCTTACTGGGGACCCGGCCCCCGTGGGCGCAATGGCAGCCCCCCAAAGCCAGCCCGTGGGGACCCCTTCACGGGGGTGCTGGGTCAAGGCTGTGATGGGGCGGCCACCCTGGCTCTACCCTGCGGTGCTGGGGGGGGTCTCCACCCTCGCTCCTTCCCACCGGTGCTGCAAGAGAAAGAGGGGCTGTGATGGGGAGCAAGGGCTGGACCCCGCAACCCCCCGGCCCCGCTGCCCCTCACCCGCGGTAGTGGCTCAGCACAAACTCCTCGAAGCCATCGGCCGCGTCCTTGCCGCCCCGCTCGCGCCGTGCCAATGCCTCCAGCATCTCCTCCACCTCCTCCACGAAGTCGGTGAAGCGCAGGCGGTCGTGGGCAAAGGCCCCATCAGGTCCGAAGGCCCCGTCCAGCTGCGCTGCCACTCCCTCAAAGTGCTGCCCCCAGCCCAGCCGCCCCATGAACCCCTCCAGCAGCCGCAGGAACTGGCTCTTCTGCACCGGATCCAGCGCGGCCCCCAGCACCTCCTGGCCCTCCTTGCGGGCGCATTCAGCCACCCCAATGCAGCCCTGGGGTGCCCGGTACCGGCTGAAGGGGGGGACCCGAGACGGCTTCCCCCAGGCTTTGCCCTGCTTGTACTCCCGGGGGAACCGGGTGTCCTTGCTGCGCCCATAGGGTTTGCCGTGTCCCCTCCTCTTGCGCTCGTCGGCACCGTGCCGCTTGCTCTCCTTCTCTGCCTTGAACCGCTTCTTCCAGGCCCCCCCTGCCTCCAGCTCCCTGCTCAGGCGCTGCTCCAGGGCGCTCAGCTCTGCCACCAGCGCCTCGAGCCCCCCGGTGCCTCGTGCCCGCTCCAGGGCCCCTGCCAGCTCCCGCCGCACCGACGCCAAGCGTGGGCCCTCACGCCACGCCGTGTCCCCACTGGGGCCGGGGGGCTGCTCCGGTGTTGCAGCCTCCCGCAGGCGCTGCAGCTCAGCCTGGGTCTCCCGCAGCATGGCTGCTTCCCGCTCCAGCGCCGCCCGAAGCCGCGCATTCTCTGCTTCCAGGCTCTGCTGCTGTGCCCCGGCTACCGCCACTTTGCCCTCACTCTTGCGCAGCAGCACCTGCAGCTCTTCCTTGTGGGCCTGGGGGGCAGCGGGGCCGTGAGCGAGGTGGGATGGGGGCAGCACCACCGGGACGGGGCATTGGCTCCCCAAGCCCCACCTGCAGCTCTGCCTGCATGAGCCGGATCTCCTGGTTCTCCTTCGCCAGCTTGTCCAGAAGCAGGCTCAGGGACTGTGGGCTCTGCAGGTCCCCAGCACCCGATGGTGGCAGCTTCTTCTGTGAGGCCTGGGGGAGAGGAAAGATGGAGCCGGGGGTGCCACCTGCCCCTGGTCAGTGTGGAGAGGCTCAGCTCCACTGCAGATCCCTCCTTACATTGCTGTCAATGGGCAGCAGCGGTTCCTGCTCCCCGGCTGCCACATCCCGATTCACCACGTGCTCTGTGGGGTCTGGGGAGTGGAACCAGACAGGAGGGAGGCATCGAACCACAGCCACATGCATGCTGCCGTGTGCCCGCATCCTGCCCAGCACTCACCATCTGCTGGGTCATAGATGCCACCTGCGGACAAGAAGGGATGAAGGGGAGGCAGGGCCCCAACTGTGCCCCTGGACCCCCATCCTGCCCCAGGACCCCACTCACCAGACACAATCAGCAGCCCCACGGCCACCAGCGCCACAGCCCCCAGCAGGTACTTGCTCATGCTGAGCCCGTCCTCGTCCCTGGTGCCCGGAGTCCCCCGGTGCGAGGCTGGCACGGGAGGGGGTGACCCAGGACAGGGCTCATGGCCCCACCGTCGCCGCAGCCCCTCCACATCATCATCACTGCTGGTGCAGGTCCCTTCCTCCGCTGGTGGCTCTGGGGAGGGATGGGCACCTCCAGGGAGGGGCTGCCCCTCAGCACGGCCCCCCCTGCCCGGCCCCCGCAGGGCCTGACCTGCAGCGGGGAACTCAGCCCCGGCATCGGGCTCTTTCTGCTCGTCACCACCGGGCTCTGCGGAGCCGTCCAGAGGGGGCTCGGCCCCGGGCTCCTGGTGCCCTTCCGGGTGCTGCGGGGTCCCGCGTTCCCCTGGCAGGAGCCCGGGCCCCGGGTCCCCTCTCGGTCCAAGCCCCGCAGGGATGAGGGAAACGGCTGCGGCCTCGACGGCCACTGCTGGGGATTGAGAGAGCAGCGGTGAGCGGCGGCCCCGCGGCCCCCGACCTGCCCAGCCCCGCACGGCCTCCTGCCTGCGACGGGGTCCCTGCTGCCTTCATCTTCATCCTCCTCCTCCGGCTCCAGCTCCGGACCCAGCGTCTCCACGGGCAGCCCCTGCGAGAAATGGGGTGGCGGCACCTTCGGTCCCGGCCCCTCGCCCCCCGTGCCCTCGGCCCGTGCCCACAGCCCGGCCCTCACCTCGCTGCCCGCCGGCTCCCGGCTGCTGCTCTCCGAGTCCCGGGGCTCCAGTTTCTCCGCCATGGGCACGGCCCGGAGCCACCTGCACAAAAGACAGGCGGAGGGACGCGACCCGGACCGGACCGGACCGGACAGCGCCGGTGCTCGCAGGCAGCAGCACCCGCTCCTCCCCCCCCGGGCCCCCTCCACCGGCAGCAGCTGCTCCGTTTATACCCGGGGGTTCTATCACACGGGTATTTATAGCCTCGTGATGCCGCCGGGCAGGTGGACGGGGGACACCGGACCCAGCCTGGGGGGCACACAGCGCTCGGCCAGGGGGCACCTTGCCCCGCGGGGAGGCGGCGGTACCGGGTGGGAAGGGGGGTACCGGGCACACGGGCAGCCCCCGCCGCCACTCAGGGACCCGGAACCGGCCCGTGGGGCTCCGACCACCCCCCCGCTCCCGGCTCCGTGCCCGGGGTGATGCTGATGGAGGGGGGGGGGGGGGGCGGTACCTGGTGCCGCGGTCCCGCCGGTAACTTTCTCCGGTGCCGGTCACCGCCCTCGGGAAGGGGCTTGCACGTGACGCCAGCGGCCAATGGGATGGCGGCGGGGCGGGGCGCGTGCGGCCACCCCGCCGGTACCGGACACCGCCCCCATTTCCCGCCCCCCCCCGCGGCGGGCACGAAGCGAGACACAGACACGCGCGATTGAGAGGTTTATGGCGACGGTACAAAAGTTTCAATTAAACGGAATAACCGGGGAGGGGGGGCACCGGGGCCATCCCAAGCACCGGGGAGAGGAAGAGAGCGCTGGGACTGCCCCGAGTACATCATGGGGCCACCGCAGGCACCCCCCCTTCCCCAGTAAAGGGCTGGTGATGGCACAGCTGGATGATGGTGCCAGAACCGGGGGTCAGTCCGTGGCCGGTGGCAGGGAGGGTCGGGGGGGGGCGGGCGGCTCAGCCGTCGTTGGCAGCCACCAGCTGTCCCAGGCCCTCCCGCACATACACGGACTGGATCTCCTTGGTCTTGAGGCAGAAGTCACAGGCCCAGACGGCCGAGGCCTCGGTGGTGAGCAGCCCGTAGGCGTTCTCCGTCATTCCGGTGCACTCCCGGTGGAACCACTTCTGGCACGAGGCCTCGCACAGGATGGCATCTTGGTCGTCGTTCACCTCGTTGCGGCAGGCCCCGCACGGGTACACCAGCCCCGGCGGCGGCTGATGGCCCGAGCCCCCCACTGCCTTCCCCGGGGCGGGCGGAGGGAGGCTGTTGGTCTCGGGGGTGCCGGCACCGCGCCCAGCGCTGCCAGGGGTGAAGCCGGGCTGGGCTCCGTTGACGGCGGCGGGAGAGCCCGAGTGCTGCTCCGGGGCGAAGGCACCGGGCGGGGGGTTCAGGCTCTTGCCCCCCTCCTCGCCGCTGGGCGGGAAGCCGGGGTCAGCCCCGGGGAAGGGGCTGGCGGTGGGGGGCAGCGGGGGCCCGCCCTGCCCAGGCCGCTGCAGGGGCGATTGTCCGAAGAGGCCGCCGGGCTGCCCGAAGCGCTGCCCCACGGCCGGGCCCCCGGGGGGCGGGTTCAGCGCCGGGCCGGGGCCCACGTCCCCCCGCGGGGGCTGCCCTAGGGTCGGGGAGATCATGGGCCCGAAGCTGCCGACCGGCCCCTGCAGCAGTGGCGCCCCGGGCGGGCTGAAGCTCGGCCCCAGCGGCTGCCCGAAGGGCTGCCCCGGGAAGCCCACGCCGCCCGGCTGCCCGTAGCCGGGGCCCTGCGGGGCCATGCTGAAGGCCGGGCCCATCTGCCCGGGGGCGAAGGGCGGGGGCTGGCGCCGCAGGGGCTGGGGGCCGCCGCCGTAGCCGGGGGGCACCTGCGGGGACATGCCGCCCTGGACGCGGAAGCCCCCGAAGGGGACGGGGCTGCCAAGGAAGGAGGCGGCGGCGGCGGCGGCTGCACCCGCTTTGGGCGCCGCGAAGTCGTCCTCGAAGGGGTTGGAGGCCACCAGGTGGTCAACCATGGGGGTGGGCGGCGGCGCGAACTCCGAGAGGTGCGAATAGGCGGGGCCCTGCAGCGGGAGGCGGCGGCGCTAAGAGCAAGCCCGCTCCCGGCCGCGGCCCCGCTGCCGGGCCGTGCCCTACCTGCGTGTTGGACTTGCGCCGCTTCTTCTCGGGGCTCTTCATCTGCAGCCCTGCAGGGACAAGCGGGGCCGCGTCAGCCGGTGCCGGCCCCCCCCCCTCACGCCCGGTCCCGGTCCGCCCGCGCTCACCTGCCTTCCCCTGCTTGCGGCCGGGCCCGCCGGCGGCGGCGCTGCCCGCGGGGTGCGGGGGCCCCGGGGGGGGCGGCGGGGCCGGGACGCCTCCCTCCAGCTTCTCCGCGTGCGGGGCCGCCATGGCCCTCACCGCCGCCACCGCGCCATGGCCCCGCCGCCGCCGCCACCCGCAACCGGGACCCGCGCGGAGCCAACCACAGCGCGAGGGGCGGGGCGGAGCGGCCCGACGGAACCAATCACCGCGCAAGAGGGCGCTGCGCAGCCAATCACAAGGCGGCCCAAGCGCAGCGCGACGCTGAGAAGGGGCCCGCAATGGGATGAACCATGTACATAGTCCCGCGGGGGGGGGGGGGGGGAATGCGCCAACTCCAGCGCGCTGGGCGGGGTGGAGCTGAGCCAGACGGATCATGCCAGCGGCCGTGGGGGGGAGCGGAGCGGACCACGGGGAGGGCGCGGGGGGGAGCGGGCGGAGGGAGCCACGTGCCGGTGGATGCGCGACACCAGGCACGGCCTAGAGAAATACCAACTTTAATACCGAGCGCCGGTTCCTTTGGTAGAGCAGGGCCCGGGGCAGGGCTGCGCTTTGGCTTGGGGAGGAACACCATGCATGGGGGGGGGGGGGGCCTCCCACCACCCCCTGGCTGCTGGGGCACATCCCGGGAAGGAGCACGGTGGGGTTGGGAGCACAGAGGGGGGGGCTCCATCCCCAGCCCCCCACACATTGCATAAGAGTGTGGGACCTGCGGGTCAAGGCACAGAGTTAACACGTAAAGTGACCGGGTACAGTCAGAATGGGGCTGGGAGGGGGGGGGGGCTGTGCCCCCCTCTGCACCCCAGGGGCTCATCTCCACCATTCCCATGCCCACGCCATTGGTTGTGAGCGGCCGTGGCCAGCAGCTGGGCCAGGCTGTGGCAGGAACTGAGCTGCTGTGTGAAGGCTGGAGCTGGGGGGCACAGCAGGGGCTTTGGCAAGAAGAGACCTCCCCTCGGCCACACTGGCAGCTTACACCACACCAGCAGGGACAGGCGCCGGCCGTGTCCATGCTCAGTCCCGGCAGAGCACCCAGCTCAGAGTCCAAGGGTGCCCTGGGCAGGGCATGGAGCCTGGGGGGGATGCACCCCGGGGCACTCAGAGTCTCCTCTCCACGGGCTGCTGCAGGCACATCTCGCTGCCGGCAGAGATGATGGGCAGGTGATTGTCCATGTGGTAGCTGATGAGGTGGCTGACGCTCTCAAAGCGATGGTCTTTTGTCCGCACCTTGGGGGCCAGGGGAGGGACACTCAGGAGGCTGCTGATGCCAAAAGGAGGCCCAAGGGGTCCCCATGCAGCCCAGGGCCCCCTCCAGCCCCCAAACCAACCCAGAGGCATTTCCCAGGAGCCCTCGAGGCTCTTGAAGGCCCCCAAACTGTGCCAAGCTCCATCCCTGGGGTGTTGTGTGGACTCACCACTCCCTCAGGATCGACAAGCAGCAGATGCTTGGGCTGCCCACCCTGCAGGCCGGTCAGCACGTACTGCCCCGGGGTGGTGGTGCTCTCCCGCACCAGGAAGTCTCCGTTCACTATCAGCAGCTTCTCAGCCTCCTTGCGATTCATCTTCCCATGGTACCAGGGCTCTCGTCTCAGCTGCTCCTCCATGGAGGCCACCACTTGGGCAGGGGGCAGCCCCACGGGCACGGACGGGGGCACACGCAGAGCATCTTCAAAAGGCTCTGCAGGGAGAGAGGAACGGGGGTGGGACCGCGGCCAAGCCCACTGCCCCCCCCACCCCCCCCACCACTCACTCATGTCAAAGAGGTCTCTCTGGGTGCTACCATTGGCTGTCGTGGGGGTGCTGGCAGCTGATGCTTGCCGGGTCTTGTCCATGTTCTGCACGTTGACATAAGATGGGTCATCAAACAGATCCGTGCGGCCGGATGCACCCACCGGAGCCAGGTATTTCTCTCTCCCTCCTGCCAAGAGCACTGGGTGAGCAGGGCTCCAGCCCCAAACCCAGCACCCACTGTGTCCAGGAAGAAAGATGGGGACCAGCCACGGCCATCCCGTTACCTTGGGCAGGAGCATGCTGCTTCTGGGGGTCGTACTCCCCGCTGGACTGACCGACAGGCTGCAGTGAAAGGTGGAAGTGAGTCCCCCTGCACTGCCCATCCCTTCCAGGCACACCCAGGGATAGAGGTGCTGGGGAGACACACACCACGGGGTCCCTGCATCACCCTTGGACCATGGAACTCCCCACAGGGCTGTGTCCGGAGCCTTACCAGTGTGGCCCCCAAGTGATTGGGGGTCTGAGCAGCCCCGTCTCGCAGCCGCATGTCCACAACCCCCCCAATGGGAGGCTCCTTGCCAGGGAAGTCGTTGTAGTACTGGTGATCGGGAGCTGGTTCCTCCTCTTCCTCATCCCAGGCAGATCCATCAAACCCAGCCATCCTGGGGGGGGAAATATGGCCCAGGTGAGCAGCTGACACCCCCTCCAAACCCAGGCACCTTCCTGCCTCCTCCTCCACTGCCCTTACCTGTCGTGGGGTGTCACCAGCTTCGGGGGATTCTTCAGGTACTGCTTGAAGCGCAGCTCAAAGGCCTGCCCAATGGTGCTGATCACGTCCTGCGCCAAGCCCTCGGGGCACTCCAGGATATGGCAGGCTGCAAGAGACATGACAAATGAGATCTGACTCCCCAGGCTTGCTTCTTAGAGCAGCTCCAGTGCCTGAAGGGGCTATAGGAAACCTGGAGAGGAGCTTTGGACAAAGGATGCAGGGACAGGACAAGGGGAATGGCTTTAACCTGCCAGAGAGGAGACTGAGATGAGCTCTTAGGCAGAAGCTCTTCCCTGTGAGGGTGGTGGGGAACTGGAGTGGGTTGAATGGAGAAGCTGTGGCTGCCCCATCCCTGGCCGTGTTCAAGGCCAGGCTGGAGCACCCTGCTCTAGTGGAAGGTGTCCCTGCCCATGGCAGGGGATGGAGCTGGTTCAGCTTTAAGGTCCTTCCAACCCAACCTATTCCATGATTCCAAGTCCTCTGTCCCTTGAGCCTTCCCTATGCACCCCAGAGCTTCCTCACAGGGGCCCGGTGCCTCACTGAGCTGAGCCTCAACACCCCCAGAGCAGCCTCACCTCGCTGATTGACGGGGTCTTTGGCAACGTAGGCGACGTACTCGGCTGTGTCCTGTGGGCGAGACACCAGCGGTAAGATGGGTGCAGGGAGGCACTGAGCACCAGCCCAGGGCAGGGCACACGCGATGGGGACCCCCTGTACTCACCGGGTCTCCCCCAGAAGCAAAGGAGATGGACTGCATGTGGTGGTTGGCAATGATCTGCAAGGCAAAGAGTTTGTTGGACACAGCCAGGAGCTCCTCTGTGGCACCTCCTGCTCCTCCCAATACACACTCCTCCACGCT